TGGAAGGCCTGGCGCAATATGGTTCATGGGGTCACGAAGAGTCGGACACGACTTAACGACTAAACAACAACAACAACAAATCATTCAGTTCTCCCTCTTTATTTTGAGAATACATACTCTCCCCATCTACTATTACAGTGACAGAGTTGTTCATCAGTTTATTTTTGATCCATATTTCATTTTGAAACTAAGGACTTGGTGTAATCCAGTCCTCAAAATAGTAGTCCAATCATCTCATAAGAGAAAATGGATTGGATGAGGGATATATAACCTGAGCAGTTTCTTCTCCATCTTTGTTGAAGTTACACACAGAAACAATCAATTGTAGCCTAATGGAAACTAGTTGCAATTAACATACTTTATTATTAATATTAAAATATAAATAAAATAATGAATATACTTATTGGTTCATCAATCCCAAGTTCTCCTGCACACACCAGTTGTTCACAGAACGTGTATCTGTGCCACATTCTACCAAAGTTGTAGATTGATTATATATATAAATACCAGACATGACTAAGTTTGAAAAGATGGAACAGCTCATACAAGGCAAACAATGACTTCTCTATGTTCTACCTTTCACTTGAAAGTAAAGCAAACTATTTTTATAACCTTATCAGGAACCCTATTCTTATTGCTTCTTAATTATATTCCTGCTCTATAACACTTAGCACATTGCCAACTAGTTAATTTTGAAGACACTTATGAGATTAATTAAAACATTTAAAGATTTTCAAAACTTGGATTTCCCTGTACTGTGCAGCCTACTAGAGGCAGCAGTTTCCAACGTTCAGACTGATACATATGCCTGATTTGTTCTTTTCTTGTTTCCTCTGTGAGAAGCTATTATTCTCTCCACTGAGATGGTTAGTCAACCAAGCGTTATATAACAGTTCTGATATTAATGGGAGATGATAAAGATTCATGATCATGCACTCTGGTCTTATTTTCCCACCTCCTTCTCTTATCTTACTTTACGAGAGAGAGAGAGAGAATACCATAAAACCCAGGCCCCAGACTTTGGACAGCTGCATAATCACATAAGGCTCAACTGTTATGATTTGATTCTGTACAATATTCCAAAAGAGAGTTCTCCAAGTTCGGGACATTCCAGATGGGTGGATTTTAACTCCCAGAATTTTACCAATGGCCATGTTGTATGAAGAATTCTGGAAGCCTGTCCCAATACATATACAGTAATGTGTTTTATATTCATAGAAAATAAGTGGCCCTAATATTTAAAAAACATATAAAGAAACGAAGATATATGTATGCGGGAGGATGGTCATAATAAAGCTGAACTGATATTATAGCAAAGCAGGGGGATCTGAGATTAACAGTTTATGAACAGGCCTTGTGTCTATGTTCAGCTTTTGCACAAATGCAAAGACCAGCAAAGTAAGGAAGTCAGTGTTCAACAGTCAAAGTGCAAATAGCCCTTTGTTTCACTCTACCCCAGACACTTGCTGAAGATCAACCATATGAAACTAACACAGTTAATCTAGAATAATCCAAAATAGGTAATTATATCTAGAAAAACCTTCAAGGGTAGGATATAGTGGGGTTTTACTGCAAAGTAGGCAATATTAAGCTCTGTATAAGCGCAGTAAAGGTTACTGAATATTAACACAGTGGGAGAGCAACACTGACAAAACCAATCACAACTGGACAGCTTGAACTACACAGTGTACAATAATAGTGTACATCCTGGCTTAAAAAGGGGGTACTTTGGTGGACATTTTCTGGGGAAACTGTGATTTTTGGAGAACGAATTTGCTTGTGGGTTCATGTGTACATGCACTTTTCTATTGCTGAGAATTCATAGTTTTTATCAACAAGTTTAGCTTGAAAATAAAACATAAGTACAATTAATATACCTGTAACGTTTTGTTTCTTTTAAGTGGATGAGGGTTTTAAGCAACATTTTTAATTGGGTCTTTACCCATTTCATACAGAGGGCAAGTGTATTACACAATTCAATACTTTATAACCTGTGGGATAATACTATGGGAAGCTAGCCTGAACAGACAAAATTAGGCTTTTTTTCCACTTTAAGTGACTCTCTTATATTGCTGTAATCCAATCATACAAAAACACTTCCCAACTCAAATCTTAGTCAATGTATGACTGCACATTGTGGCACATATCGAACCACCACACAGACTTACTTGTAACTTCTCATATAGATCTTTTCATCCACTGCTGTGAAATGCAGAACATGTTCTAAGCCTGCCAGCCGAATACTGGGGACAACAGGGCCTCTGAAAAAATCTAAAGGGTGAAAAAGCGGAAGAGCCAGTTGAGTACTTTTCCATGAGAGCCAAAATGATTCAGGTCAAGCTGTTTGGCCTCTCAAATAATGCAAGTAGTTGTGTATGATTACATTTACAGATAGTCCTCGAGTTACGACCATTTGTTCAGTGACTGTTCAAAGTTACGATGGTGCTGAAAAAATGGACTTATGACTGGTCCCTGAAGTTACAGCCATTGCAGTGCCCCCGCGGTCACATGATCATGATCTGGGAGCTTGGCAACCTGTTTACACTTATGACCGGTTGCCAAGTACCCTATGATCATGTGATCGCCATTTGCAACCTTCCCTGCTGGCTTCCCACAAAGACAATGGGGAAGCTGGCAGAGAAGGTCACAAGTCACTCAGGTAAGTCTACCCCATCTACCCTGGGCTTTCTTCACTTACACGCACTGCACCTCCTTCTCCCCTTCACTCCTTCCCCCTTTGCTTGTTTGCCTGCATCAGCGCTCTCCTTCGCCCTCTGCTCACTTGCATGCATGTACCATGCCCTCCTTCACTTGCTTGCATGCATGCATCGCCCCCTCCTTCCCCTTGCCTGCACACACCACACCCTCCTTCCCCCTTCGCTCGCTTGCATGCACCATGCTCTCCTTCCCTTATTAGCACACACCAGGGCAGGCAAAAGGGCAGAGATAGGGAGTGAGATAGGCAGATGGGGGGAGTTGGAAGCAGTCCCTTACTTTATTGAGGGTCAAGGCTTGGAGGGACCAACCCCGGAATGGCTTGGATTGGGGTGGGTCCTAGACTAATGACTGGTGGAATTCGCTTAACAACAGCAATGGGGACTTCCAGGATTGCTATTGCTGCAGTCACTTGTCATCTCATTTTATAACCACATTGCTTAGCGATGGAAATTCCAGTCCCAATTGTGGTTGTAAGTTGAAGACTACTTGTACTTCCAATATAAGTACAGATAGTCCTCATTTAGCGATCACAATTGGGACCAGCAACTTGGTTGTTAAGCAAAGTGATCGCTAAGTGAAAATCATGTGACTGTGACTGTGCTTAGTTTTACTTCAGCTTCTTTGCTTTACAGCATCAGAAGGATACAATCCCAAACAGTCAGGTGAACCCTGGCAGAGAAGGTTTCTGGAACTCAACTCATGAGGAAGCCAGATAAAAGGGCAAATCTTATAGCCCTTGTTCCCCACTCCCCCGCCCTTTGGAAGCCTCTAGTGTGAAACTGATTAGGGTCTTGCCTGGATTCTAATCAACTAATTAAGGTCACAGAGCTGACTATGTGGTTAGCACTTTTTAGGGAAGCGCTATGCTGCAGAGAAAAGCAGCTCAGGAAGAGATAGCTTGTTTAAGGACAGTCTCTCTGTCCTGCAAGAGGGGAAAAAAGAAAAAAACGGGTCAGGCACAGGACGTGTACTAATTGACTGTAATGGGGGAAATGTGACTGAGAGAGACATGCTGTGAAGATTGCAAATGAAGGTATTGGTCGCAAAGTTACTTTTTCATCACCATTGTAACTGCGAATGGTCACTGTTCAAGGCAGTCGCCAAACAAGGGCTACCTTTATGGCATTCGAAGCCCCAAGGACAGAAGCGGTCAAGACCAGAGGATAGCATAGGTAGTCCTCACTTAACAACAGTTAATTGGGACTGGAATTTCTGGTTACTGTTGTTAAGCGAGGACCACATGGGTTGTTAAGCGAGGACCTCATGTGTTTGCAACTTCTGACTTCCTGCCAGCTTCCCCGTTGACTTTGCTTGTGGGAAGCCAGCAGGGAAGGTTGCAAATCGTGATCACATGACTGCGGGATGCTGTGATGGCTGGAAATCTGGGCCGGTTGCTGATCACCCAGATCACAATCATGTGACCACAGGGGCACTGTGACAGCCAAAACTTTGAGGGCCAGAGTCATAAGGCAGGAAGGGTATGTTACACACCCCATTGCCTAGAGAGTTCTGACTGGTGGGGTCCAGGAGGAGACCCTTTTCTGCTATGGCTCCCACCCTCTGGAACATCTTGCTCCCTGAGGTGAGATTGGGCCCCACTCTGAAGACCTTCCAAAAGCGCATCAATAACTGGCTCTGCCAACTACAAATATAAATACAAAATACTTTAATGACCAAGTATAAAATA